GCCCCAAGAGGGGAAAACGGCAGCCGAAGAGTAAAGATCTGTTAAGTCCTGCGGTCTTTTCTGCCTTAAGCCGAGGCGTGCGGGGCAAGACCTCGGGAGGCAGAATGGCAAAACCGGGAGCCCTCTTCCTGCCTTCTGGCACCTTTACTTATCAAGCCACCTGCACTGATGTGGAGGGAAAAATTTTTTATTTTTACCCTGGCCCTCGCCAAGCCTTACCTTTCCCACAGCTTGTCACGTTATTTTTTTTTTTTTCCCCCGTGCTCTGCGTATCCCCGGCCGCACTGGTGAACGGGAAATGACCGTGTGGCTGAACAATTCCAATGGCTTCGGGGTTAAAAAGCTGGGGGATGAAACTGGTTATGAAGTGGAAAATGAGGTGACTGGGGGCAGGGAGTTGATTAATAGTACGAGGTTTCCACACTGAGTTTTGACCGTCGCCCGTACCGCTGACTTTCTTGGTGTTGATGGAGTGACATGGGAGGAAATTTCTCTCCCTTCGTGTGTTACATATATCACATTTCTACTGATTCGTTTTGTAGTAAGATGGTAGCTGAAAGTTAGACCTGTATTCAGCTCCAGTGTTCAGGCAGGATCTGGTGCATTTTACTGGCAGGTGCTAGGAACTGCACTGCTGTGCTGACTGACTCCCCTGTTACAGTCTGGGTAAACTGATTCCTGAGCTGAGGAGACTTTCGCGTTTGAAATATGGAAATACTCTTTCACTTGTCTGCATTGTTTGCACTGAATGAACAAAGCTGCAGACACTTTACTTGCATTTATATCTGCACATGAATGTCTTTGTGTTAATTACTTTTTATTCTCAGAAGGCTTTCCAGGTGGAAATACACTAAGTCTCTGAAGTGTTTTGAACTCTAGTCTAGATCCACCAACATGTGGGACATCAGCTGATTCTGGTTTAAAACCCAAAAAAACCCCATGATGTTCTGGTATAAACTTTAGCTTAATCAGAATTACAACTGTATATGGGCACTTCGAGTAAATATATTCCTATTTATTGTGGATGTAGCATTTAGTGTTGAAACTGTCTCATGTTGATCAAAACTTATAGTCAAAACTAGAAGTCTCATACCTGCATTTAGCAGTTGGTTCAGTCATTTTTCCCCCACTAAGTTCTAAAGACTTTGTAGCTCCCATTATCTTCACTGGAAGTTGTTTGATACTTAACACTGAAAATCAAGGTGCCCTTTAGGAAGCGTCTGTATGCATTTAACAATGAAGTTTTGAAAATCTCAGCTTGTTTGAACAAAGTGGCTGTCTCCTATTTGCCAAGTTCCTAAAATAAGAATACTGCACCTGAAAATATCTGATTCCCAACTTCTTCGTATGTTGGGGGGGGGAATATATATATAAATACGGTTTATATAACTACATAAATTATTTATCTTATATGAAAAGGACCAATGTCTGGGGGAGAGGGTGAGAATCAAAGAACTTAGTGGATTAAGGTGGGTAAGAATTACAAAAAAAAGGCATGTTGAAATGGCAGGTCCAGTAGCAAGGATTTAAAGTCAGTATGTCAAAATAAAGTTGATATTATAATTCATAAAGTACAGATGAACTGCTTATGTTTAGGAGAATGGGGGAGAAGGAGTGATGCATTTAACAGTAAATGAGAATTCAGAATAAATCTGAATTTGTAAATAAAGTTGCAATTTAGGTCTAAATGTGAGACGTTGTGATACAATATCTTTCTCTGAAAAAGGGTAAGGTTTTTGCTAGAGAGAGGAAGAGCCATAATTCTAATCCCTGGCCTTCAGTAATCATTTGATATGATGACACATGGGGAAGTTATTAGTTTAAGTGGAGGAGATGGGGATTAATAGAAGAATTATAAGATGGACAAAGAAATGATGAAAGAGAATGTGACAACACTGTGCTGAATGGGGGAATGTTAGAAGGTAAGTCTTTTACTAGAAGAGTTGACTGATTCAGGGGATTGGTAAGGACGGGATAAACTCTAAGACACAAAGTAAAATCACACATTAGAAGTAGTACTGAAGTGGGCACAAAACCTGGGAGAGCACTACTTAGAAACATCAGAGGAGGAAAAGATCTGGGTATACTAATCAATCACTGGGTAACCATAGGCCTGTTACATTTTGTACAGAGATTCTTGATCTTGTGGAGATCTGTCACAGACCTGCGCTTTATTAATCTGTTCCAGTATCATTGTAGTGGCCCCCCTGCACTCCCATGGTTGGCGTTTGCAAAGGCAAAGCCTGCTGAGATTCCTCTTCTCCGGTTGTGTTGGCTTGTCTGTGAATGTCGAGCATCAGTGTAATGTGGTTGTATAAAAGGCAAATGCAATGAGGTGAGGTATTCCCTAAGAGAGTGGAAAGTACTAAATGCCTTTACACAAGGCTTTGGTGAGGCTGCATTCCGCCTTTCAGGTGCAGTTGTGGTCACACCTGTCTATGAAGGAGAAGGATAAAGCCCAGCTCTTCTATATGCTGTGCACTGAAGCTGGAAAAAGTGCAAAGAGTGAGTGGTGGGCTTTTCGTATGAGACTAACAGAGCCCCTTATCTCTAGCCTTGCAAAATGAGGTGTTTAAGGAGAAGCTTTGGATGCCTATAAATCTATGAGGGAGAGAAAAAACTAGTTAAGCTGAAGAGCAATAATCTACAAGAATGAACAGATGCAAGCTGGTTCTGACTATATTTATGCTGGTAATTAGAAGGCAGCTCATTAGAGGGGTGAGGTTCTAGAACAACAGGAATAATGGGAGCAAAACTGCCTGCATGGTTCTAGGGAAGGGCTGTGTTCATTTATGAAAGGGATTATATGATGCAGTTGTCTACAGTGAGAAGGAACAAGACTTAATGATTCAGGACATCTATCCTAGCCTTAGGCTTCCTATTCAGAACGGGGCATTTTAGTTCAACCAGAAGTTATGGACTATCTGAGGAAATTACTTTTGTTCTAGCATAAGCTGTGAGGTAAATCAGATTCATTTTACTTTGTGCCATTAGAGTTTATCCCATTCATTCGTTATGTCCTCCTTGGACTTAAACACTATGAATAAAGACTAAAATATCTTCATACCTGTATGAAAGAGAACAGAATTTCATTTGAGCGCTGAATTATTATGTCCAGAACAGTTAGCTGTAAACAAACCTATGGTGTTTAGGATCCTTCCACGGCTTAGTGCACTCTTTTGGCTTGAGAAGGACTGATAGCACTCCCTTAGTGGGAAACCCTACAGTATTGTGAAGTGTGCCCAAGGTAACCTGGTTAAATGCCTGGCAAGGAGCTAGGGCTAGAGATTAGATTGATGTGCTGGATGGGGCTGTGGAAAAGGATGGCTTCTGTATTTCTGTAAAGCTGTAGGTGTACTGCTTTTAGAGTACTGGTCTTCCTATCATAGAGTGTTTTCAGTGATGCAGTACTGGACATAGAATCATAGAATAGTTTGTGTTGGAACGGACCTTTAAAGGTCATCTAGTCCAGCCCCCCTGCAGTGAGCAGGGACATCTTCAACTACATCAGATGCCTTTTCCTTGTTTTACTTAAATGTACCTTCTTACCTGGAATAGTATTTCACAAATCATTGGAAAGGCAGGCAACTTGCTGCCTGGAAAACTTTCTGTTACTGAACAAAGCAACGATATATAAAATAACTCACAGGTAATGTTTGTATCTAAAGGGTATGAAATGTGTCTTCCTTAACTCAGAACAGCAGGGATATAGCTGGGTCAAGTGGCTTGCTGTGTTATGTATACTTATACTATTATGTATATTTAGGGTAACTTGAGTCTCAGGTCTCTTATGTGCAAAGTATGAGCCAGGTGTCCTGGTAAGTGGGTACAACTAGAGGGACATCTTAAGCTTTCCCACCCTGCAAAGGCAGCTGTAAAGGCAGTGAGGCTGAGCGACTTCACTGCTCTCTCCCAAGTCTTGGTCTGTTACTTTGGTCATAGTTCAGGAAAGCACCAAGTTTGCCTGTGAGCACATGAGAAGTTCCTTTAAGTATGGATTTCAGTGTTTTGATGAAGCTGATGAACTAATAACTGTTTTGGTTTTGTAAGCATTTGTTATTGGAGGGTAATACAGCTGGCTGCTGGACTGCGTACACTGAGTTGATATTATAAACCTTTTTGTGAGTGTTCACAGAGGCCTGAATTTGATCAAGGACACTTATTACCTACATTTTACATATCTTTTACAATGAGCACAAAGTATCTGAAATGTCTAAACAGTTACTGAGTAAGAAAAAAAAACCTTCAAAAACCACAGCTTTTTCCACTTTGTGGAGTTATGTATATCTCTTGATGTCTACAAAGGACTTCAGTAGACCTGCATGTTTTGTCTTCAGTCCTAGCTTATTCCTGGCTGGAATATCTTTGTATTTTAACAGACCAATTGTTTAGATACTGTGGTACAGCTACTCTTCTTTTCTTACTGTGGGTTGACTGTATTGAGTAGTTAGGTATTGGGAACACTGTTGCTTCATACATCACATCCTCTCAACACGGTCTGTATGAGATGAAGCACTGGTGCCCCAAGTTAATAATGGCTGTATGACAGGAGTTATGCTTAAGAAGTTTTAATGACTTGAGATTTTACAACCATAAATGGTACAAAAGAGTAAAAATACTCCTAGTTTATAGGTAGATGCTGAGCAAGGCTGTAAGGATGCCAGTAAGGCTGTTTGTGGAATATACAGTATGATGCATTAGTAAATTATTTACTCACTCTAAAGGTAAAAGTTTATTTGAATATTTATCTGTTATCCATTAAAGGAGTGACCTCTGGCAGAGGGCAATATCAATAACTTGGGACAGTACCATTTCATCTTCTGCTTGCAGAAGAAATGGCCTTTATGTTACCAGTCCTGTAAGATGGACCAAGGAAGACTAGGCACAAAGGGTGAAAAGTTTGCCTGTCTAAAATAAGTTTGTTTGTTTTTTCCCGTTTCTATTCTGTAGGATTTTTAGAGCACCTCAGACGACATCCCAAATGGATGATTAACTTCACAATGGCAGAACTCACAGTGGAGAATGGCAGCTGTATGGACTGGCAAAAGCGATGCCTTGCATTGGAGTCCCAGCTCTTCAAATTTCGCTTGCAGGCAAGCAAGATCCGAGAGCTGTTAGCTGAGAAGGTGAGGCAGTGGTTGCTTCTTCTACTTTGCACTGAATTATGGCATGAAAGCAAAAAAAGACCCTAAATGCTGAGGTATCCAGTACAACTAGAGGCTCTCTTCCTTGATTACAGTATGTCATTGCACTCTGCTTATCACTTGAGATACAGAGATGTGCCTGGCAGAGTGGTGTGAAGTGGCTAGTGAAAATAAGAATTTGGCCTTGTTTACTGGAAGATCACCAGGTATTTGGGTACTACTGCAAAGCACTGTACCCAGCAAGATTCTGGATATCTGAAGTAACTGAGGCAGCTGCAGAGCAAAGATGGATGTTTTTGATAAGTACAGCAGGATCAGGACTTGGCTGGCAACAGAAAAGCTTACAGGAGTGCAAATTATGCTGTAATGTTAAAAGACTGGACAGGGGTACGTGTACTGCCATAGTGTTAGAGTAACATTGCATATCCAGTCAAAACATTTTGGTGATACTAAAGAGCAGGACTGAGAGACTTTTGAGATCTGGATGTTAGAAACTTGCACGGCATCTGTGGTTTTAGAGGCATCTCCTACTAATCTCTTTCAAGTGCACTAAGTGAACTTGTTTGCAATCCTACGGGAAAGGACTGTCAAAGATTTGAGGGTTTTATTGGGGGTTTGTTTGTTTTTTGTTTCCATCACGGTGTGGATTTTTGGTGTGTTTTCTTTACCTTAAAGTGAGTTATTTTTCAATTTGAATTAAAGCTTTTTCACTAACCTCTAATTTGCATAAAATCCAAGTTTGTAGGTTGCTGTGGGGCTCCTTTGTTTCAAAATGTGGCTTACATTATTACAGTCCAGTTCAAGATTGCGCAGATATTCAATTACTATTGGAAAGTGAGAACAGTTTCTTTCAGTGATAGTTTGCTAATGAAGTTGAAATCTTCACAACTGACTGCAGTTTACTCCAAAAGCTTTTAACCTTTACCTGATGACAGATATGTTCTAAACGCACTTTTGCTCCATTTTGTATTATGTAACTTCTATGTGTATGTTCTTGTTTGTTTGTTCTGGATGTAGAAACATCCAAATGACATCCACTTCAGAGTGGAGCAATTTTCATCCTTGGTTTCACTGTAATTACATTTCTACTAATGGTGTATACTGCATGAGACATTCATTCCACCCGTTATATATTAAGAAATTATGCAATTCTGAGCACCCTGTTAACCTTTTCAAGGTAGCTTCTGAGATGGACCTTAGTGATTACTTATCCTGGAAAACATTGAAGTGGTTGTAAACTCCACTTAGATAAAGGCACATTAAAAAAAAAATCGCGTATAGATGTGGTGCAGGTCTGGTAAAGACAACCAATACTTGTATGCAATACTCTGTATTTGCCGCATTGTGGAACCCGTGGCCTCATGCTTTATTAATTTCTGCTTTGAGAAATTTCCTGACTACCCCTGTGCAAAACAAACAAAACCACCTATCAAACTTTCTTTTTGGAGAACAGACTTGCCAGACACCTTTTGACTATCTCTTTAGGGAGGTTTGTGGCCATGGCAGAGAATGAAATTTTCATCTGCTTCAGGAGGCTCCTGAAGGAAGGGACCTGGCTGTCATTAATCCAGCCTTTCAGTCAAAGCGATGTTCCCTTTGTTAAGATTAAGGAGCAGCTCGGTTCAGTGATCAGGTTACTCTGTAACTACTTGTACAGCGCAGTCCCTCGTAGGCTTACTTGAAGGGTCAAAGAGCTAGCAGGTTTGCAATACTGTGAATGTCATGTGGGAAGGAAGGGGAGAGCCTCAGGGACTGTGGGGCAGCTCCAGCAGGCTCTCCTGACGCAGGTGGACTCGAGGCACGAGAGCAGGTGCTCAGCACACAGTGCTCATGCTGAACACTGCTGTTGGGAAGTGTCCTGTGCCTCAGGTTCCTCACCACCCTGCAATGACTTGCTGAGACCCTCCTTCCCCCCCAGTTGCCACAGGGCTCCCTGTGACTCCCCAGCAGTCACAGCAACTGGGGCTTCTGTCCACGCTGCATCCTTCTCCCCGTCAGATGGGCAGTGATGCAGAACCGAAGGAGGCACGTGCTTTAGGCATAGTGATGCCAGCTCCAGGGCTTCTTATCATAGATTTTATAGCAGGTTTTTTTCTTACAGTTGTATCTGTGAGAATGAAGAGATTCAGACTTACTTGAAAGAGTAGTGTGTTTTCGAAAAGGTTTTTTGGGGGGGTGGGGGAGAAGGTCTTAAAATGTGAAGTGGGCAGTTTGAAGCTGTGTGGCCAACCTGTGGTGAACATTGTCCCTGACATCCTCTGATATGGTTTGCAGCAAGAGGAAAAGAAAAAAAAAAGTGGTTTTGCCAGCGAAAGTGAAGAACACTGTTAACAGCAGTGTGATACTTGCTCACCAGCTATGTTGTCTCAGGAGTCTGGGAGCTGCTGGTTGAAAGGTTTGTAAACATGACCCCCCCCATGTTGTAAATTAGTCTTTATAACCAATTTAATGATTTTAAGGCAGATTTTACTATTTTAACTTACAAAAAAACCCTAACTACTCATGGCTGGTGGGGATAATACAATGTGCGCTAACAGTTTAAATACTTCAGATTTTTAAAAGCCGCTTAGATCGAATAATCTAGATTGCTGTTCAGAACATGAGGAATTTAAACCCCAACGGTTTAAACTGCCAGTGCCCTAGTTCACATGGTGTGAACTTCCACATTGGTAGCCTGGTCTCACCTATCGAGCAGTGCTGCCGAAGCTGCGCAGAGTGTGTCTGCGGGGCGGCACGGCAGAGGGACCCCAACCCCTGGCCTCCAAGACAAAGCTCTGCCATCCTGCTGGACCCCCGCAGGGCACGAGACCCCTGGGTCCTGCCTTGTTGTGGACATCAGCAGGGATCTGGTCTCTTTGGAAACAGGCAGTTGCTTCCACTCTGATTTTCTTGGACAAAGAAAGGGATGCTTCTCTGCTGGTGAGCGACATGGCAGGCCGTTGCCTTGGCAGCAAGATGACCTGGTTAGAAGTGAGCTCTGGAAGAGAACAACAGGAGGAAAATCAGGCTGAGATAGGCAGGAACTTTTTTTCACTCAATTTTGTTTAGCTGTTCTGAGCCATCAGGAGAGGGAAAGCCTGTGTGAATGGTTGATAGGAGGAACTTTTGCAGCTTTTAAAAGGGCCATCTGGGTATCTTTTAACCTGCTCCTGTCTTACTTCACTAAACAATGAACATTTGGGAAAAACCTCTTTCATCTCATGCAAGCATGGCTATACAACTGGGCCCACTTTTCTCCATACAAGCTGTCTGGGCTAATATTTCGGAGACGAGTTACTTGGATTTGGCTTGGTCACTACTTTTTTTATGTGACCTGGGTCAAGTTGCTTAGTAGCATTTGTCAAATTATAAAGCATTTTCAATGAAAGGACCCATGTAAATCCCAAGCATTATTATTAATTCATTGAGGGATTTGAAAGAGCCTTACGAGCATGGAGTATTAAATCTGAATGCGCTCCAGTGAGAAAGCTGACACCAGTGATGGGTGAAATAATCTTTTTGTGTACATGAGAAACACAGCAGTTATTTAACAGTTCATAGTAGGACAACCCAACAATGTGGTACAGGAAGTTAAGAAAAGTACAAGTTCATTTAATGCTATGGAGGGAATTAGGGTGACAAAATAATTGATTTGACTGGAACTTAGCCAGGTCACCCTGCTTGCACAAGAGGTTTCATAACTCTTAGTGATCAGGAATGGTCCCCACATGCATTCTCTGACCTGATCAGGATCCAGGACTGCTAGCAATGCAAAGCAAACTGTTATGAGGCTGGGACAAGGAGTTTTTTTTCAGTCAGAACAGTGCCGTCGTCTTAAAATAACCTGAGTCTTTCATGGATATCACCCACCTTGTGGAGGATTGAATTATTAGTCTAAGAATTAGACTAATTAGTCTAACTAAGAAATAGACTAATTAGCCTCTGGGAAAATGCTGAGATTCATCTAAAATCTGTGCTGTGAATGTAGACCCTGTCAATTCATCGGAAAACTATCAGAGGCCTTTGACTCTGAACCTACTGGCATAAACAGTCTTTGTTTCACAAGGTGTATTATGTCTCCAGTTAGCATCTGTCTTTCACCAGTATGTTTTGCTGCTATCTGTCTATGGTGATGACTATCCAGAAACTAATGGATAAATGCATGGGTAGATCACTGTTCCTAACGGACGCAGACTCATGTCGTAACCCAGACCGCTGCTGTTGGTGTTGGATTGCCTTGAGCTCAGTCTCTACCAAGACTCTCAGAGTCAGAGTCTTTGGTCAGAGCAGCTTTGGCTGTCTGTGCAATCTTTTGTGGCATCTGTCTGTTCCTCTGCCAAAGAAGTGTCCTTGATTTGGATATTAAACTCCATAGACTGTGATGTCCTTGATTGCTCCACTGAAAAAGGAAACCTGAGAGGTATCATGCTAAATGTGGCACTTTCTGATCTTCCTGGTTTGAATTTGTTATGGCATGGCTTTTTTTAGTTATATGACCATTGAGATGTCTACATATATGTATCATTCCAATATGTTTGTCAATAGGTGTCAGTCTGCTCTTATGATCAATGTATATGTATGAAGAGGAGAGTTGTTTTGTTGCCATCTGAAGGAATAGAAATGGAAACACAGGAATGTTGTCATCTCCATCCTGGGTGATCAACCCAAGGGGCATAAGTCCCATCTCCAGAAGTATTGGTTTGGTCATCATAGTGACCAACCTGAATACTTGGCTCCAGTGCTTTATCAAGAATCATAAAATGCATTGGAGAGAAAAGGAGCTCAGTTCCCCTTGCAGTTTGTTTTCTGTAAGGGGAATCAAGCTTCAATCATGCTTGAAGCATGATTCTTCTAATCTTCTGAAGCTGCTTCTATGTCATTCCTACCTTAGTAAATCACAAGTAAATCCTGGAAACTCTATGAAGCATTCCTCAAATTTTGCAGCTTAGTGGATGAAACTTAGTGTCACTGACTTCATATTACTGGGCTTAAATCTGAGACCCGTCAAAGCAGGGCAGGTTGTGGAAGATGACTTTGCAAGCACTGAAGGAGATCCTTAGTTGCTATTTAAAAAAAAAGAAAAAACAAACAAACAAACAAACAAAAAACGACTAAGCTCTAGTGGTAAGTTGTTAGAGGAACCCCAGATACATCTGCATTTCACTGAGAGTGAAGTGATTTATATACACTTAGAATAAAATTCTATTCAGCGTGCTTTGACTTCAATAGCAGCAATGCCCAGATAAAGAATCACAGAATTGTCAGTTTGCGAAGCTCCCAAATGAAAAGCATAGGAAAACTGAGATAATTGTTAATTTTGTCAGTTATGAGCCTGTGATGCTTTTGAAGCAAAAGCAAAGTATTTATTGGTTATAATGTGGCATCATAAAGAACCTGCTGTGAGCTTTCCAAGACGTATTCATCTTTATTTACCTTTGTAAATGAATCCTAGCTGAAGTAAAACCAGGAAAGAATGGCATGCTGTAGACAGGCTTCTTGCAGGGACAGCTCATGGTGTGTAAATTGTAGAGATGGGGTTAAGACTTTGGGACTATTCCTTTGACCCGTGTAATGAATGATGAAGCTCACTAATGAGAAAACAGTTCCGGTAAATTCAAAGTAGGGCAGAAGACTGGAAAAGGTCAAACGGGTTTTTTTTTTCCCCCCTGGTCAAGAGCTGTCCAGTTAACTCAAAAGATGCCAAAGATCTGTAGAACTGCACAAGAAATGGAAGATTCCTGTGCAAAACAGGTGAATTTCCAGATGATGTTAATTTCTTTTTTCCTCCCTCTCCCCTCCTTTTCTTCTGGCTCTTGAAGATGCAGGAATTGGAACAGAGAGTGATCGAAGCAGAGCAAAGAGCTGAGGATGCAGAGAAACAGGTAAGAGATTCTCTTATGGTTGCTCTGGTACAAGCCCAGCAGTAACTTACTCTAAATTCCATCCAGTCTAGCATACAGACAGCACTCTACCGTGCTGTGCTCTGCTATGGAAACGCTGATTTGCAGTGGTGAACAGATTTTCTGGTCTACTTCCCAGTCTTTGAGCTTGAGCTATGAACAGGCACCTAAATAGGTTCAACTCTAAGTGAAAACCAGCACCTGGTTTTCAGCCTGTCAGCTTCACAGCCTTTACCTCCTTGCTCGGTTATGGAAAAGGAAGGGGATGTTGTATTTCAGGATTAAAGTGCAGAGATAGAGCTGCCTGGCAGGTCCTCAGAAAACAAATACTCAAGAGTACTGGTAAGGACTTGTCTCTTCTCTACAAGTAGAGAAGGTTCTGCAAAAGAAGTATAAGGGTGTGTCTGCAAAACATATCAGTTGTTTTGGACTTTCTTTTTAGTAATTACTGCTTTGGCTTGGGAGTCCATGGAGAAAAGCAATAAGAGCTAGATTCATTGCGTATTACTGTAACCATCTAAAAATTAGGCTTATTGTCCTTCTGTGGTTCTTGAATAATGGAGAAGGGAAGAGAGGGAGACTTCAGCTTGTGAAAAGGCTATAAAGAATAGTGGACCTTTGGGAAGCAGACTGTTGTACAGTCTGCACTGTAAGGAGTATTATAAAAACAAAAGAGCCAAGAAGGGCCGGATGGTCTGAGCTCCTGCATCACTGCAGACGACTGCTGAAGGGAAGGTTTGAAGTGAACAAGCTCCCTGCAGCTGGACAAGAGCTGCAGGACTGAGCACTGAGTCAGAGATTAAAGCGCAGAACTAAAAGGCATGCAAGATGGCCAAGAATGGCTGTCAAAGATGACTTCAGTAGTGAAGGACTGAATATGCAGTGTTATAAGCACTGGCAAACATATTGCCTAGGAATTGAGAACTTGAAATACTTCGTAAGGTATTCTGTCTGCAGAATGTACTATACCACACCAGTTTGATATTGGCATCAAGGTTTTTTCTGACCAACTTGAATATAGGAAAGATGGTACGTCAAATCACTATGCTGTTGGCCTCTATGCTAGATCAGCAACTGCCAACCAAGAACAAGAGTTGTTCTTGAGAGGGCTATCAGCAAGTCCACACCCAATCAAGACAGGCAAAGGTAACATCATCACTGTGACAGCACCAGCAGGAAATCATTATTGCCACAGGACAATGAAGGAGGTATCACACTAGCAGACACCTTAACGGCAAGAGTAGATGTCCATGATACGGTAAGATGCCACGACAGCAAGGGAGCAGATGGGGAGCAAGTCAAATCCAGGTCAGAGAATGGGCAAGAAAGGGAGAACTTGGCTGGGAAGGTGTAGGAGAAATGAGGGTTGCCTTACTCACCTGCCACCAGCAGAAATGAGGGTTGCATTCACTAACCTGCCACCAGCAGTTCTGCAGCCATGTATTGACAGGTCCTAAAGACTAGCAACCCCCAAAGTTTGCCTTTCCAGCAGTCTTATCCACATCCAGAGATAAGTGTTCTCAGAGAAATACTTCATTGCTGCCTGGCAGCCTGGAGAAGTGACAGCATGGGAATAGGACCATTCCCTTCCCTTCCATACATTCACCATGAATGAGAAACAGCTGACAAATGAGAGGGATCCACATCAAGTGCAAAATCCCTTGTTATCTTTCTCTCCAGGAGTCAGGGGGGGTGGGGGTGGATTTGTTAATTCAATGGACTCTCTGTAGTTGCCAACCTCAATTAAGGAAATCACATGTTTGCAGTCCCCTCTCTGAGCCTCTAGTACAGAGTCAGCATTTGGGCATCAGACAGAAAGGAGGGGCCACTTCTTTTTACTATAATCACCCTAAACTCTAATGAAAACACATCCGACTCAGCAGGCTTAGTTTTCTGGCTCGGATGTTGGGCGCCTACCTTTCTGATTCAGTATGAGGAAGAGGCAGTTTGCTTCTCTGCCTAATGCAGGCAGACAGGAGGACAAAACACAGCTTCTGCAAGTATGAAGTGTAGGCTGCTCAACAGAGCATGACTTGCACAGACTCTATGAAGTGCTCACATCACTGCCTGCGTTCTACCTTCCTGGTTCCAAACACATTCCAAATTAATGGTATCTGGAGTTGGTTTCTGTGCAGATTTAGTCTCTCTGGGATGTGTTGGAACCAGTATTTTCCCATCATCAAATGCTGCACTTAGCAGGTTTGAGTTAAGTTGACGGAGTTCCATGCACCTTTAGAAACAAAGTCTTATAATCCATTGCAATAGGATGAGGTAATGATAAAACAGACTGGCGGATTGAGCGACATAGATTCTGAAGAAAGCAAAGAGGTTTTAAAAATTTGCTAAAAACCTGTTTATGCATTGAAACTTTGTCTGTAGTGAAGGAGCATTACACTGGTGCATATCTTGCTGAGATGAACAAGCATTGGCACTCGCAGGTGCTCAAAGATAGGCAAAGCTTCTGAAATATCTAACGTGGTAGCTCCTTAGCAGGTCTGGAGAAAACGCTTGTCCGAAAGCCAGAAGCTGCCAAAACATCGTCTAAGCTGGGGATAGGAGGAGGAAGGAACTCCATAGTACATTTCCTTATAGAAATCTTGATCTGGAGCAAATGGCCAGGGTTTTATGGTGTATGCCTTGGTAGTGAATGAGGTAAAAAGCTGACCATGTCATTGAGAAGGAGGAAAATGTTGTGTACCTTGCCCATATGTCTATGTAGACTATAGTGCCTGTATGGTCTCTCTGACTAATAGTGGGCAAATATTTTACAATCCACAATGTGTTTATCTGTTCATGGTTCAGTTTGCATCTGTTAATGCTTCAGCATTACAAATGAATGGACAATGTCCTTTTCACAAATGTGCATATAAACTTAAGTGTGACCTGTAGGGTTTGGCTTTTTTTCCTTCCTTACCTGACTTCAAAAATATGAAACCCACAAATACTCTCAGTTAGGGTCTTTCTGATAAACAAGCAGCTCCTTCATTTGCATTGTTTTGTGTTTGTTTTTTTATATCCCTCTGGCTGTCATTACAGGTCAGAGTTATGGAAGAGAAGGTAAAACTAGCCAACGTGAAGACCGATGAATCAGACAACAGTCTGCACAGGAAATACCAGGAGTTGATGGGCACAGTGCAAGGAAAGGAAGATCTGATCAACAAATTGGAGACACAGCTAGCAAAACAGGTAAGGATATTTTCTGCAGGGAGACCTTTAGCTTTCATGAATTGGAGGGATTCTGTAATGTACATTTCAAAGGTATGGATTATGTCCCCACTACATATTAGCCTCTCAGTTGCCTTCGGATCAGCTGTAAAATGATGCTCTGCTTAGTGCAAGATCCTCTCCTTCCTTTTTCTTTTCAGGCAAAAGCATCCATTCAGTCTCAGTAGCCCTTGTCTCTTCATTAGAAGAGATTGGTCAATGTCCTTGAAGGACTTCCTTATGTCAGTGTTGAGACCCTAAATTGTAAAGCTAGAATCTGGTCACAGTATTTCTCTGGCTTCCTAGCGTATAGATTGCTCTGAAAAATCATTTTATGTAGCCCATCTCTGACTCGGCATATGCTGCTTCATGATAAGGGACTTCTCCCAGTCTTCAGCAATCCTTTAGTATAGTTCATCTCTTGTCAGATGTCCTTATTATAAAAGAGCAGCTGTTTCCCAGTATGGATAGTTCTTAGTGTCTTCCATTCTCAGTTGGTGGAAGGAAAGAGCTACATCTACAAGCTCTGCTGTAGCTTGTGTTTCAGCTCTAGTAAAAGCCTTGCCCTGTGCTATTTCTAACATGAGAAATGAGGTATTCTTATATGTCACTAAGTAAATTACTTTTAAATGGAAATAGGTCATTAGAATTTTACACAAAAAAGTACTTTGCCTTTGAGTTACATTTTACATTTAACCAATTGTCACTTATTTCAAGGGCAAAATAGATTGGTAAGCTGTCTGAACTTACTCAGACCAAATGTAGTGTGGTCAGGCACTTCCCCAGGCCACCTTGCTCAGGCAGAAAGTAGATGAAGTTTCTGCATTTTGGAGGAGAAGGGTGTTTGGAAGGAGCTACAATAGTGATCAAGGTCTGGAAAGAGCTCTTGCAATCAAAGATGGAAGAAATTCTGATTTACCCAAAAATGTGAGGTGTGATTTGATTAAAATTAATAAACACGAGTGGGGAAAAATGTTTTGTTAGTAGAAATCTTTTTATTCTAGCAAAAAGAGGCAAAATGAGGTTCTAGAAATGAAAGCCAAAGCTTGACAATGTGCGACAAGAAACAGTTTTTATCCGGGTTGTTGGTTTAGTTTCAGAATGGGGTAGGATGGTGGCAGTGCTGGAAGGTCACTAAGGGTCCCTGTAAGGCATCCTATTTGTTTTCACTGGGATGGGAAGAGCTGTGGAGTTCAGAGCGTTAATAAGAGAACACTGAGGTCATGTCTGGACCACACAATAGCATGGGATACAAAGACTCTCTAACTGCTTCTGGATCTTAAAGCACAATAACTGCATCTACGGGTGCTGTGCCTGAGTGAATTGGGTCTGCTTAGGGACAGGGCTTACTAAGCTCTGTGACAATGCTGTCATCATGTCACTATGCTACTTTAGGACCCTAAATAAAATCTTGGCATTGCCCTTACTGTGTAGCATAGCAGTAATCTGAATCTTTCACCTCTTGGTACGTGATCTGAGACAAATCCAGGTCATTAGGGATTCAAAGGCATTACCCATGTGATGGATATTCAGAGGACTATGGTAGATCCACTATATGTGCCAGATCAGTTCACACCAGCAGGCACATCTAATATTCTGACTCCAGCAAAGGCTGGTACCTCATGATTAGGAACACACACAGCCATATTCAAGGAGAAAAATAAATAAATATAATAATAAATCCTCTTCTTGAAGCATCATATTTGATTACTTGTATTTCATTATGCTCAACTACAAATGTTACTGCTACATGTAATGTTACCAAGGTCTATTTTAAAATCAGCAAACATATTTGAAGAAGAATTTTTAAATGTGCAGTCGTGGTGATGTGGCGTGTGTGGCGATTAAAATTTTTAAAGAATTTCCTGCAGTCTAATGTGTATTTATATGGTATTTATTAAGTGAACTTACATTCTTCATTGTGAAAAACTTAAAGCGGGAGGAAGCACTGACATTTTTATATCATAATTACTGGTATTTGTTTGTGTCTGAAAAAGAAATCGAGCAAGGAAACCACCAACTGCTGCCAGAAGGTATTGCCTTTGTCCATTTAATTAAAAAGAAACCAGGGCTGAATGTGCCATACAGAGTATATTCCCCCTCCCTCCCTTGCTCCTGGAACTGATTTCTCTTTGTAGTTGTTTAAATCGTTATGGAGATAGGAGACCTTTCAGTGACATGGCCTCTGATGAAGCCACAGAGGAGATGAACAGAAGACTTCAGGTGATCATAGTATCAATCCAGCATCTTTCAAAGGAAATTCCCAGAAAAGCAAAAAAGCGCAGCTGAGAAAACACAGCTGCAAAAATGATGTTGTGGCAATATTGCCCAAGCAGGTACTTGAGGGAAAAATATTCATTGTGCAATTCAACAGTATTCCCATAACACCTTCGTGTGGAATAGAGCCTGTTTTAATGGATATGTAAACATACAACCATTTACACCATCTCAAAATCTCCTAGCAGGTCTTAGTGTTTCAAGGTCAAGTTTTGAACCTTTTTTATCTTGAGTCTGAAGTCTGCTATTTTTTTTTAAGTAATTTACTTTCTCAGTGAGAATATTGTGTATGTGTTAAATACATTGTTGGTATTAGTTTCCATCTCATGCATCTTTAAAGTCTATAGTCTACACCTGTGCTTGCAGCAGTTGAATGCTTTTTTCTTGGAATTATTACAGTGGTTTTTAAATCACTTACAGGCACTGCTTAATTCTTACTAACCTCAGCCAACAATGTGTGTGTATGTGTAGGCGGGGGTACACTACAGATGCTCAACAGCAACATTGCAAAACCATCTAAAACAGGAAAAGTTGCAGACTGTACTCAAAAAAACCCCCAAAAAACAAAAAAAACAAAAAAACCCAAAAAACAACAACTGTGGTAGGTGGGCAATTGTTACTTGAGCTGGATTTTGCTATTCCCCAAAAAACTCTTGAAACAACCCTCTGAATTTGACTCCAGGGACAATGTAAGACAATTAGAGCTTGATTTTTCAGAGGCCAGCTAAATAATAATATCCAAATAGCAGTCTTAAATCTTACATCTGGAATGGGATCGTCAGTGTTTAAGTAACTCCTGATGCAGTAACTTACTGAGAACAGTTAGTTGTACTTTCCTAATGCCTCTAATCTCTCTTTTTTGGCACAGAAACAGTTGAGGACTGAGGAAGCCAAGATTGTTCAAGAGAAAGCTGCCAAGATCAAAGAGTGGGTAACATTTAAGCTGAGAGAGGTGAGTCTTTAGCTTGCTGCCAGGTTTCAAGGCCTATGAGTAGGTACAGTGGTTGCACTGCCAGGGGGCTTCTATGTAGGACAAGAGTCGGAGGACAGTCAATCTGCCACAGAGGCTTTCTGCTTGCTTGGCCCTACGCACACAGTTGCAGAGCTAGGGTCATCCCTCTTACTGAGTGCTATTTACTGCTTTGGGCAAACTATAAATGACTGTGAAGTTACTAATGACTGAAAGTCTCTGAAGATGATTTACTAGTCACAAGTGGCTTTCACCTAGCTTTCCTCTGCCTCTCCCTTTTTTTCTCTGGGTGCAGTTTCTGGCCCTTTTTCTGACGAAGCAGCTGTGACACAAACACATGTTCTTTGCTCTTCCTTAATTTGCCATCTCTGACTAATGCTGTTTTCCACTGCCCAGCATTTTCGCATGTCTAACCTCTCCCTCCTATCCATTCTGTGGACTTATGCCTCTATCTGTGCCTAATTCAATACCCTCTAGAAAAACTGAGAGATAGCAATGGGTCAGCATGCGCTTTTGAAGATGCAGTAATAGTTTACAAGTGGGCGTGGGGCTATCTGGTCTTTCCCTTTTATTCCAAATTAAAGGCATAGATTTCCCAGTTTATGCCAGAAAGGGAATTTGTTGGAGTTGGAAGAAGCAGTCTTTGTGGCCACTAATTGTGTTATAATGTGACTTTGTAATCTCGTTAGATTGCCTAGATATTTCACTGAGCTGCTGTGCTGCTTCTCTTTCATTTTCCTATATGAAATAACTTAAGGTGCATCTACATTACTGACTGGTGCAGCACAGAGGAGGAAGCACAGGGGTTGACTTGGTGTGACCTGCTCTGAATCCAGGACCCTACATTCACATTGTGTCTTTACTGGCTATGACGTTCGTGAATGTTCGTGATATGCACCTGATTCTAGGTGTATACCATGCACAACTGGACCACTGCCAACTGAAGGACTTTGCATCTGTGTTGCAAATGGGTCGCTCTAGAGAACACCATGGGTGCAATTTCAACTTCTGTTCCATCAAGAGGGAAGCCTCTTTGGGCGCACCACTGCTGTATTTAAGAATGTATGCTGAGACACTTCAAGCAAAGATGTAAGGCAAATTTGCAAAGAACCACTTGTGCACTAATTGCAAATATAAATGCACCCTTAATGTTTGATTTTCTTTGGTCCCTTGGATCCAGGGGATCTCCTCTTACCACATGCAGGGTGAGAGGGAAAAATGCTTCTCCTGGGAAATACTTTTTTGATTGTCTCTTTCATGACAGTTATTTCTGGAACAGGAGTAAATGATAAACAGTAGCAGGGAAGGAGATTAAAAGACCTATTTGAGAAGTGCGAATAGTATGTACAGAGGCTATTTGAGAAAGCACAGCAAAGTGTTTAAGTGAGTTGCCAGTGGAGCTGCTGAGTAGAAGGATTTCAAGATGACTGGTAGACTCACCCATCCTTTTTTCCATTTCCTATTAAGACACTTGAATGTAATAAAGATGAAAAGATGTTCTGTATAGTGGAACACATGCACATACAGTTTTGCATTATTTTTCAGTTTGTATTATTGTTGTTTCATAGCTTGAGCTAGAAAATTACCACCTGAAAAACTGTAATCAGAGGCTGACGGAGCAAATTGAAGCCCTTCAGGATACATTGCAAGGTAAATGTTTTCACCTGGCATTGTAGCCTAGTAACCACCACAAGAGTGGAAGTCAGCATTCCTGGGTTGTGTTGTTAACTTTGTCAGAAATTAGCACTTGTGACAGTGAACAAGCAGTAGCATTGCTCTCTTCCTCAGTGGGTCCATTTTTAAGATGGAAATAACATTGCTTACCTGCCTTAAACTCTTAATTGATTTCCCACCAGCAATTGAACAGAGGCCCATTTTTTTTCAGTCTGTTTTTGCCATTAAAATAAGGCACTGAGCTCCTGATTTAGAAGCACTCATTGAAATACATAGCAAAACTCTTCATTCACTTCAGTCGTGCAGACTAGGAGTCCCTGAGGTATTTCACTTTACATCCATGTGCAAATTATTCTTGTCCCCACAGAACCTCTGCTGGCATGTAAGCTGAGTAACTGAGGACTGAACGGGCCAAGGCAGCAGCTGCCTGGTCTGCCTTTAGAAGCTGGGTTCTTCTTGTGCTTCCTCTTGTGCTATCAAGTTGGGTTGGAGAAAGCGGTTCACAGTGCTTGTGCTTTTGTGGTTCTTGTTTGGTGCATAGATGGAGAACTTTGGTCTCCAGGGCCTGAAATCAACATGTTTCATCGCAACACAGTTTGAAGAGGAAGTTCTCTCTTAGCCATTTTCTCCCACCCCCTTTTTTTTTTAATGACCTTAGTTTGGTAACAGTAAGATGAGCTAGTGTACAGAACTTCAATGGGGATGCAGGCAGGGGGCATTTCTTTCCTGCAGAAGTCTTTCTGGTATTCCTGTCACTCTGCAGCAAGGGAATAGGGCAAAATTCCTTTTAAATCCCACCATGTTTCTAGCTAAATGCTTTATGACTGGGTTTTTCTCATCCCCTCTGGCTCTGGATGTTTACAAAAAGAGAATGGCTGGTAAGCTGCGTTAATAATCTGGTATTAAGTGTTCCCTGAATCCCAACTCTGTGGGCAGTAAACAGCTCTCCCCTCTCCTCTTGTCCCCCTAGACTCGCTGTCCCAGGCTGAATTCAGAGGCCTCTGCAGAGAGAAAAATCTCTTCTTGCTTGCCATGCTAATTGTAACAGCTTCCTCTGCTTCATCTCCTGTCACATCTAGGAAGCTGCAAAAATACCAATAATAGTTAAAATGAGTGGCCTCTTTTCAGTCTACACTAATGATTTATCTCTGGGGCAGCAGAAAACGTGTGCCAGGATTTGTGTGTGCACCAGTGCTATGTGTTGGGAATAACTCTGTTAGCATTCAGTTCCTTGTGACTCAAGTGCCAAGGTCAGCCTCTCATGGTTGTCTTTTTCTCAGCTGTGTTTCCAAGGGCAGATTTCACCCTCTTCGCAATCAACAGTGATTTATTCTGCTGTTTGACCTTCCCTCCGTTACTTTGTGTCTTCAGTTTGTTTCTGCTTCCTTGTAAATCCCCTTAGCGGTTAAGCAATGCCTGTTGAGTTTGATGTTCAAGCAGTGTTTTCAGCAATAGCTGTGCAGAGTCACACTCACCCATATTTATGCAATTTCCAAAGCATCGTATGACTTGATTTTTTTTTTTTTTTTTTCCCAGTCAGGCAATTGTGTAATGCCAAGATGAATCAAAATCACAAAGTGAAGTAACATTCTCTGCCATTCCTAAGTTTTATCCACACTCTCATATGCTAAAGCTGCTATTCTGCAGAACCTGTAGAATCGAGATAGTCTTTAAATCTGATAATGATGGAAAAAAAGTAGAATTATAAAGTATAGGTACTAAACAGGAAGTAACGATGGAGACAATCTAGGATCTATCTTTTATGTCATCTTCTAACACAGCATCTGAAGAGGCTGGAAAAAAAAAAGAAGTTTTTACAACAAAAACATATAAGTAACTGCTATAAAACTTGTTGACAAAAAGCACTGCTTGGGTCATACAGCACAAATAGATAGCAAAACTCTAGGGAGATTATTGAAAAGAGAGTAACCTCACTGACTGGTGTGATGAAGGTCTCCATAGATATACTGGAAGCCTCATCTGGTCCCTGGGAATGAGAGGAGCCATACCAGATTTTTTGATGGCTTAAATCACTGTAGGTCCATTGAAGTTAAAAGCCACACTAAGCAGTGTTCTGGCCACTTAGATGGTTTTTGCCGAAGTATTGTATGGGTGGGTGCATTTCCCTCTTGTTGCTCTCAAGAGAAGAGACATAATTGTGCATGGGTAAGAGTAAAAACTGCTATATTGAGTCAGACTGAAAGCTTGCCTAGGCCAGTATCCTGTCTCCTGGTTGGCTGTGGATGTTTCAGGAAAGAGGGTAGAAAATATTGCAAGCAGAGCTGTCCTTCTGTCCATGTACCTTTCCAGCTTCTGCTGTCAGTGTTTCAGGAAGTTCCTAGACCAGAACTTCTGCTTAAACTGTAGTTTGTACCACTGATAAATTACTCTTTCTGGCCTATCTTTTGTACACCACAGCATTCTATTTCCCTTTTTTGTCTGAAAAAAATTCCTTCTGTAAATTTCAAACACACTGCCTGATAATTTCATTAGGCACCCCTTAATTCCACCTTTGTAAGAAACAGTGATAAATCTTTTCCTATTCATCTTTTCTGTACCATTTCCAGTTATAAATATATAGCATTTCTGTTATAGCTGTGCCCAGCCATCTCCTTTCCATTCTGTATAGTCCTAACCAGGCCAGGGTGCTATTGAAATACAACAGACATGAACAACTTAACACTAGCAAGTAACATCTTAGACAGTAAAGCATTTGAATGCCCTAACCGTATGTTCTCCTCTGTTGTAGATATGACCAGCATTCCTCCCTTTGAATCTCTTTGGAGCTGTAATTCTCTGAAGCCCAGAGCATCACAGGCCTCTCTTGCTGAGAAGATAGACCAGAAATCTGTGCTCCTTGCACCTGGTTTCAGACAGGTGTGTCAGACAGGACCTACCAAACGTGTCCTCTCTTCAGCAAACATAGTCCTTGCCAATGACACCTTTACTGAGGATGGAGAGGATAAATCTCTGCTTTCCCAGAAAACACTGAAGCTCATGCCTGACCCATCAAGCTGGAATCTTTCCACAGATAAAGATATATTCCCAGCTGTAAGTTCTGAACACAGGTTAGGGTGCTCTGATTCCACATCACTGGACCCTCCAGCTGAGGCCACAAGAATCCTTGAGGCTTTGACTTTCCAGTCATCTTTGGAAGGAAACCATAGCACCATGAGCACCTTGCAACAAGTGGCTTTGGACAGCACCCGCTTATCTGATGATCTGAGTGCCAAGTTCCGCTCCCACCGGCTGGACTCCTCTTCCTCCGGAGAAATAAGGAGCATGCTTGAGGGCTGCCTCCAGACTGCTGAGCCACCACTGGTTGTGTCAACATCAGCTGTTACAGCACATTCCTTCTGTCCAGGAAGGGAATGCAGCCTTGGCAGTAGTATGACCTTTCCAAAAATACGAACTCCCAATACACCAAGAGACAGTATCCAACTAGCCAAGAGACATTACAGCCAACCACAGCCAGGGGCTAATTCTTTCCATCATGTAACGAACTTAGAGGCTAACACCTTTCAGCCCATAACAGACTCTCCAGTCTGTCATGGGCAAGTGAAGGAGACAGACATTGATGATGATAGGGTACTGGAGAAGATGGAGACAGAACATGGCCTGGTGAGGGAAGAAGCTGGAGCATGTGAGGAAATCAGTCACTTATCTGCGGGGCAAAGAGAAGCTGTGAGTTCTGAGGCTAGCATACTTGACCCAGGAGGTAAACCTCCCACACCACCGCTGCACAGATTCCCATCATGGGTAAGAAATGCAAGGACAACAGTCTGAGAAGTGCTGCTTATCTCTGAGAAGTGCTCAGTAGTTAGGCTACAGCGGCCCTTGGTGTCAAGCAATTATTTCCTGTGGACATCAGTCACATTTCTGAACCACCTAGTCTGACAGTTCTAGACCATGGAGCATGCTGGTTCCACTGACAGTTATTTTTTTTCTTTTCTCTTTATAAGGAGAAAAAAACTCCATAGAAGAAAATAGTACTCAAAGTCAAGAGGTGCTGCATTGTGGTTTATTCTTATGGGTCATCAAAAGTTAATCCTTAGTTTTGTTGTCATGTGTTTAAGATAGAAAAGTGAGTCATAAATGCAAGTGAATGGACCAGATCAGATAGTTTCAGAGTCAGAAAAAGCTGTGAATACTAGAAAAGATACATGGATTAGATGTCTGCATTTCTATCTCATGGTATACTTCTGCTATCAGGAAAATTTTGTGAATATACATGTCCTGTTGCTTACTTCATGTGAGAGAGAAGCTTATTAGCACTTTCAGTTACTTGCTAGTTCAGATGATTGGATTATTTGCTAATGTGTCAATCTGATAAACTTGGTGGAAATCAATGTAGTATCAAAAGAGGTAACTCCATTATTTTCAGTTTGCTTTTTTAAAGGCATAGGCAGACAAGTGGTTTATTGAAGGTGTAAAGTCAAGCACTTGTTAATCCTCATGTTTTATGATTTTTTTTCTATGAAAACTTAACATTATTTGTGATCTTTGGCTGTGTCCTTTATATACCAATTTAAACCTCAGTATAATCACAGCTGTTTTTCCAAAGGAATCTTTTTTCATTCAGTCCATAATATGGAACTGTGCTGAGGATTAAGCTGGATAGTGTAGTAGAAGAAACTGCAGTTTAAAGTGTCTGTTTTATTTGCTGCAAAAGTCAGAAAGGTGTCATGAACAGTGTACTCACTTGGAAGAAGAGAAATAAGTCTCAGAGATTGGCTGCTATTCCTTTCTCTGATCTAGAGTTCCCAGATAAGGTTCTTCTAGCCATTTAAGCTAAATTTTTCACAGATGATCATCAGCTCCACACACACCTGAATGTCTAACTTGAGTTTGGCAAGTAAATTTGATTAGAGAAGCACTGAGAACTTCTCTGCTGCAACTGTATTCACTTGTTTTTATTACAAATAATGTTATATGATGCTCAATTTTCAAAAAGTCAGGTCTTAGACATTTTGAAATGGGTGCTCCAAAGATACTGGATACTTCAGAGAACTTATATCTGAGTTCCTTGTCTGGAAAATAGTGATAGCACCCATCAATGTCCCTCCCAGGATTTTTGTAAAATTTTTTATTAATGTTTATGAAGCATTGCAGTATGATAGTCAGAAACACAACATGAAAAATCAATTTTTTTGTCTTCAGACCAGAGTCAAGTAAGTGTATCCAAGTAGGGCAAATTTAACTATGTCAAATACTGAAGCATGAATAGAATATTAAATAGCAGCTTAATCAGTAAGAAATGTCCATTATGTACCCTAAATAGAAAGTGTCTGGGGAAAAAAATGCATATAATATATCATTAGAGACTAAATCTGTATGTATAGTGTGGCCAGCAGGAGTAGGGAAGTGATCGTGCCCCTGTACTCGGCACTGGTGAGGCCGCACCTTGAATACTGTGTTCAGTTTTGGGCCCCTCACTACAAGAAAGACATTGAGGTGCTGGAGCGTGTCCAGAGAAGGGCAACGAAGCTGGTGAGGCATCTGGAGCACAAGTCTTATGAGGAACGGCTGAGGGAACTGGGGTTGTTCAGTCTGGAGAAGAGGAGGCTGAGGGGAGACCTTATCGCTCTCTACAACTACCTGAAAGGGGGTTGTGGCGACGAGGGCGCTGGTCTCTTCTCCCAAGTAACCAGCGATAGGACGAGAGGAAATGGCCTCAAGCTGCACCAGGGGAGGTTTAGATTGGATATTAGGAAAAATTTCTTCACTGAGAGGGTGGTCAGGCATTGGAACAGGCTGCCCAGGGAGGTGGTGGAGTCGCCATCTCTGGAAGTGTTCAAAAAATGTGTGGATGCGGTGTTTCAGGACATGGTTTAGGGGACATGGTGGTGCTGGATTAATGGTTGGACTTGATAATCTTGAAGGTCCTTTCCAACCTTAGTGATTCTGTGATTCTGTATGGATACAGAAAATACTAATTCTGTCACTTCTTTTTTTTTTTTGTGTACTTGACTTTGTGGTCTTAGGTACTTTCATGTATATGTATTATGTGTGTTATCTGATAGTGGTTGGCTGTATGCTTAAGAAGCAGTAAGAGGATTCCTAGCTTTGATTTTTATCCATTTTAGACTGGTTTTAGTCATAACATTGCATTTAGTTACAGGTTTGGGTTCTCCCCTTGGAATTTTTAACAATTTGTGAAGCACTTGGAGAGCCTTTGAACTGAAAGCTCCATGTGTTGTTATAACTGAGACATAGGCTTATTGAGATCATTCCAGGCATTTCTTTCATTCCCTTGTCAGAGAATGGGAGTCCTTTGCAGGTGGTGACTAAATAAATTGTCCTGGTTTAGGGCTGTTATTGATTCATTTTAATGTGTTGTTCATAAAGTGGTAAAAACACCTTTTTCCAAGCTGTGATGTAGTAATTGTCATGGCTTATTGATAATTGTATGTACGTGTTCCAATCTGGGAATACTCTCTCTCTGTAGCCTTTACAAGCCAAGCCTGTTGTGATTCAGGGAATCGCCCACAAATGCACATTTCCGCTAACGGTCATTCATGCAACATCTGGTGGAATAGAGCAATTTTTCTTAGAGGGCCCCTCTTTCCTGCCCAAAGGTGTGATTGTGATATGATTCTGTGACACAAGCATTTCTTTTTGCAGGAATCATGTTTTTGTCTGACCGTTGCTGTTCACGTTATCATTTCAGGAGATATGTCATCATATCACATTATCGTTTCAGGAGAGTCGAATCTATGCTGTGGCCAAGTCTGGCATGAGGTTGTCTGAAGTGGCTGTGGTGAATGATACTTCCAGCTGCTGTAAGTTCTAGACAAGATGCATCCTTAGAGGGACTTTGCAGTGACAGTGTGGGACCTGAGCTTCTGGCTATTAACATTTCTTCATTTCCTTGCCTATTTTCAAAGTAAATTTGATTTTGGACATAGCCACGATAAAGAAAGGAAGGGAGGAGGATACATCTGATTTCAGGGATGGTTGGTGCTGGGCTGTTTGAGCCCCTACATTCAGTGACATCTTCAGGGACTCCATGATGTCCTTCATCACTTTCGCTGACACTGTTCTTCCTCTGCATGTCTGTGGCCTGCTTTTAGTCTTGTGATTCACCGTCGCCTTCCACTGTTATGGCTTTTGCCTGTTTGGACACAGTGTGCTGGATTGCCATTGTACCATGGGGAGCACAGGGTGGGTAAGATGTCTTACAGGCTAAATGGAGAGAGCATTGCAACTGTCTCCGGGAACTTTACGTAGTTAATAACACATCCCCTGGCCTTTCTGAGCCCAACATGTCCAGGATGGCAGTCCTCAATTATTTGATGTTCCAAGAGGCTACATAAGTTCTTACATGCATACATGGATCTCTCCATTAAAACGTCCTCCTTTTCACCAGTTTGTCTTATTTGCTCTCTTGCTCTCTCTCTGAATTTTCCCAGTTTCCAATTTCTCGTGTTCAACTTCTGGACCATTTACCTGTCTCATCTACAGAAATGTCACCGTGCCAGTTTACACTACGCTGAAGGGGGTAAGGACTTACCTCACTGTTCCTGTTATGAAAAGCATGGTCCAGGGCTGCTAGTAATTTGAGAGAGAATGGGATGAAGCTCTGCAGTGAAGGAAAGAAAATTAGAGAATGCCAGGAAGTACTGGACACCAAAAGAATGCAGAATGAGTGGCAGATGATAAATGTATTTAGGAATACAGAACACTGCAGCAAGGTTTGGCCCAGGAAGCTGCAGAGTGCACTATGAGGCTGTAGAAACCTAGGGATGATAGGGGGTTTAGCCTAGAGAATGAAATGGAAGAGGGCTCTTGAGAGCTTACGGGGAAGCACAGGGCTTGTGGAACAGTAGGAGGGTGTAACCAGAGGAGACCCAAACAGATCAGACTAGAGAGTCCAGCTTGGAATTTCTCAGACGAGAAAGGGAGGAAATGAGGAGCCCTCGGACAGTAGTGGGCAAGGCAGTGTGAAAATGAAGGGCCTGCATTGATTGCTCTGTCTCCTTATTGAGCATTGTCCTGGGGAAGCTGTTCCCTCACCCGCTGACCATACAGATCTGTTTTCCAGAAAGCCACACAGATCAGCAATGTGCCTTTCTTAGATGAGTCTTCAGGCTCTGATGATGACTGTGGCTCCCATGCCAGCTTCAGGACTTCTACTGCTGGATCCGAGAACAGGAAAGCCAGCATGCCAGGCAGCCCTCGTGCAGTGAAGAGAGGTAAAGTGGGAGTATTGCTACTGAGCAGCGTGAACTCTGTCCTCACAGGTGAGGCAAGAGGTCCTGAAAAGCATCAGTGACAGGCAAATGCTCAGCCTTGGTGATGCTAATAAGGAGTTTTCCAGAATGTGTGCAGACATCAACAGCTACTCAGTAGAAACTTTTCCTCTCAGATGGGTTTTTTTACTGCTGGTAGATTTCCATCCAGGCAATTGCTTATCTTAAGATTGTGGGAAGGATTGATCTCCCAAATTCATCACATACCCAGTGAAGCCAACCATAATTTTTCTGTGACTTCTCCTTGTAAGCAAGCAGTACTGACACATTAAATAAAATGTTTTTTGTCTCTGTCACTGGCTGATAATTTCTTGACCAGTAAGCAAATCTTTCCTATTTTTGAGAGGCATCAGGTGATTTGGGTCCTGGCTAGGACAATTTTTCTTAAAGGCTGAGAAGGTGAAACAGGATCCTTGAGTGGAATTTTCATTACGAACAGTAGTCAATAAAATAGAATCCCATTTCATGTAGCCTTAACTTCTGTTGTGATGCATTGGCTGATGTATCTGTGCATTGCCATGGACCAGTGGTGGAAGATGCACTGAAACCAAATCCCCATGGCTGGTGAGGGAGCCTTTTCTTTAATTTGAATGACAGGGGCTTGAAGCTTTATAATGGATGTTTCCAAGCTGAAAACAGCATGTTTGTGCTTTAGACAACAAGTCAGTTGATGGTTTTTTTTCATTTTTTTTTAATATCTGTTCATTCAGTAACAAATTTATTTCACTGTCAGTATTCAAAACTCACTCTCACTACTTTGTCTTCCGAGGGAAAAAAAAAATAAAGGTCTCAGAAGTTTCGTTAGTGGGGTTTGAGTTTTCAAAGTCTGATCTGATTTGTACTTTTTGAACAAAAAAGCCTTAATGGTGAACTCAAAATTTCAGTGTGTGCAGTATTCAGTGCATGCTTCTGTGTAGCCATGATTCTCATTCTTTCCTTTATTTTGAACAGGTGTATCTATGTCCTCACTGAGCTCCGAGAGTGACTATGCCATCCCTCCTGATGCCTACTCCTTGGATGGTGACTATTCGGAGCCAGAACATAAGCTACAGCGAACATCTTGCTATTCCACTGATGGTGGAATGTGTAATGTAAGTCTTGCCACCTCATAATTGTGAAGAGATGCAAACAGAGCCTCCGCCTTGAAAGAGAAGAAGCGTAACTACAATACATTGAGTTATTCCTTGCAAAGTGATGCTCTGACAGACTGAGTTGTTGGTCATAGTTTGTATAAAAAGGCACTATCTGATGCCTCAAAAGAAGGTGCAATTTCTGTTACGTGGATAGATAAAAGTATAAGTATCAAGATCTGTATTCTTTCCTGATGTACTGACTTCCTGTAGTCATATTCTACTTTAATGATGGCCTTACACTTTTGTGAACAAAACAAGTTTTGAAATTCAGAGGAAAGAAGAAGACAGGACAAAATATTTTGGCCTAGAAAAAAACCTCAAACATGGGCAGCATTAAATTCTGTACTCTTGAATGTAAGAGATCAAGCAGACAAAGAACAGGAGTCTAATCATGGCTTAGAGCCAGCCTTCACTTTTATTTGGAAAATCACTGCTGTGGTAGGAAGACAAATAAGTTTTCATTGCATCAAACAATCAGCGAAATGATCTTCAGATGCCTTCTTTACTAAAAAGCATTTGCAACTACACAGATAGTCTAGGACTTTCTCCAAGTAGAGCAGAGAGCACTGACCTTGGATGGCTGCTACTCCCATCAGGCAGAGTAAAGTGGAAAATACTGGAGATGCAGCAAATGCCTGAGCTTGATTTCAGCACTCTTTCATTTGCGTTTTGAGAGGTGCAAGATAACCTGCTCTCCTCTTTGCTCTTTGCTCTCCAGGAGCCCATGGAGAAATCGGGTTACTTGCTGAAAATGGGTAGCCACGTGAAGATGTGGAAGAGACGATGGTTTGTTCTAAGAAACAGACAAATCATGTACTACAAGTCTCCGGTGAGTCACTGAGATACATTTACTCCTGTGTGGAGGCACAGGGGAAGGCTCCAGGCTCCAGAAGATCCAGGCTGATACTACTAGCAGAGTGGGCAGCCATGGGCAAGTTTCAGCAGTGTGCCCAGGTGGCCAAGAAGGCCAACAGCATCCTGGCCTGTATCAGAAATAGTGTGGCCAGCAGGAGTAGGGAAGTGATCGTGCCCCTGTACTTGGCACTAGTGAGGCTGCACCTTGAATACTGTGTTCGATTTTGGGCCCCTCACTACAAGAAGGATGTTGAGGTGCTGGAGTGTGTCCAGAGAAGGGAAATGAAGCTGGTGAGGGGTCTGGAGCACAAGTCTTACAGGGAGTGGCTGAGGGAACTGGGGTTGTTCAGTCTGGAGAAGAGGATACTGAGGGGAGACCTTATCGCTCTCTACAACTACCTGAAAGGGGGTTGTGGCGACGAGGGCGCTGGTCTCTTCTCCCAAGTAACCAGCGATAGGACAAGAGGGAAATGGCCTGAAGTTGCACCAGGGGAGGTTTAGATTGGATATTAGGAAAAATTTCTTTGTGGTCAAGCATTGGAACAGGCTGCCCAGGGAGGTGGTGGAGTCACCATCTCTGGAAGTGTTCAAAAAACGTGTGGATGTGGCGCTTCAGGACATAGTTTAGGGGGCATGGTGGTGTTGGGTTGATGGTTGGACTTGGTGATCTTGAAGGTCCTCTCCAACTTTAGTGATTCTGTGATTCTGTGAAAATATCCTTCCCCCAGAATATCCAGAGCTTTATGTCTGACCTACAGTTTCAACCGTGGGTCTCTGCTTAGGCAGGGAAGCTCCTTGTGGTGGCAGTTTCCAGGAGATGGAAGGCTGTTCACAAGGGCAGATGCTTGACACCTACTGGTTAACTTCGTACACATGATGAAAAGCAGAAGGCATACCATGGCCCAGCTTTGGTCATGTTTAAGATGAAAAGAAAGGAAAAATAAATTACAATACCAGGAGGGTGCAGATATGTACTCGTCAATCAGCATATGGGGCTGTGAGGAAAACTACAATTTTTGGGGGGAATAAAGCTGGATTCTTTCATTTTTCACCCTCCCACATGGACATGAAAGTATTAGAAAACTAGGGTAAAACTGAAAATAAGCTTTCATGCAAAACACTCTCTGATCAATGAAACAATATTGAGAGAGCATGTTTGTGCATTCAGACCTTTCAAAATATTTTTTTTAATTCACAACTGTTTCAAACAGTTTCTTTATGTCAAAAATTCTAGCAGTATGTACTCAAAATTTGTATATACAGTAAGACACTTATTGTATTTATTGTTGGCCTTCATTAGTCTGCTGTACTTGGCTACATTACAAAGAATTATATTTAGGGATATTCACCTTCCATACTTTTTTTTTTCTGGACACAGCAATTTCTTCCATACGTGCATAATTACACAGTATTTCTGTGTATATACACATCTTTGCTTACAAGTCAGGAATACTGAGAAGATTTTTTTTCAACTATTTAATTTTTTTCAGTTGTTGTCATACTCTGACAAGACAAAAAATACACCTCAGGGCACAATGCATATTTATTTCTGATACTAGGTTTATCCATCAGAATTCACAAGCATATTATATATGTGTATATATATAGAAAATAATTTCATAAATATGCAGAATTTAGACCCTTGGTTAGAAGGGACTTCTGGAAGACCCTAGTCCAACTGACACATTGAACAGGGACTGTCACCAGCTGTAGATTAAACCACCCATGGATTTGTCTAGCTGAATCTTGAAGACTTCCAAATGTGGAAATTCAGCCACTATCTAGGTACCTGTTTGGTGTTGTATTTCCTTCCCAGTGAGAAAGGGTTTGTTTTGGGGTTTGGTTTTGCTTTGTTTTTTCCTGATGTCCAATCTGAATTTCTTAAGACAGTATTTCTTGACGTTACCCGTGTTATATTGTCTGCCACTACTGAGGAGGCTTTTGCTTCCTCATTGCAATGGGATCACACTGTTTCACATTCAACCTGGCAACCTTCAGCTGTCCTTTCCAGCTCATGAATATAGACTCCAACCTGCACATGCATATTATGCTCTATTTAAGTACTCTAAGACCCATCTGAGCATTTTTTTCCCCTACTGAAAAAGTTGTTTGCTTTTCTTTCCTCAGAGTGACGTTATCCGTAAACCACAAGGGCAGATGGAGCTGAATTCTTCATGCCAAATTGTCAGAGGTGAAGGGTCCCAAACATTCCAGGTAAGCATTGCTTTTTCATCCTGCGGATAACCACACACTCAGTGTCTGGGTGAGAGAACACTTATTTCAGGCGGAATGGTACTGTGTGTCTCAATTGATACAAGCTAACTTTATCTGGCCCCTGTATTTCCTGGCACAAGCCAGGCAGTTTGTTTAATAAATAATGGGGAAAGAGCTAAACTGTAACCCAAATGCAGCTTTTTGAAATTGAAAGAAATACTCCTTTATTTGTGTTTTGTTTTACACCATAGCACTTTCCTTTTTTGCAGTTAGGACTGAGAGCTTGAAATCTGTAGGGAAGAGTGATTTTTGTAACAATTAAAACCAGATACTACCTAGGATCTCCACTTTCTGAAGGACTCCTCTCATAAGATCTCTAGCCTGACTTTACATGTGTGGAGGATCTGAAGAAACATCTGAAGTGTTGGATTCCTATTAGAATTTGACTTCTGAAATATTGGAAGTTAGGCCATCACTGGATTCAGTTTTAAGTCATTATTGTTAGTGGACTTCATTAAAGTTCTATCATACTCTGACTGAAAGGCACATGGCCTGACCTGTGAGCTACCTTCTGCCCTTATGGAACTGAAGTTGCTAAAGCTTAATACTACTAAATTCATAGCATCTTGCGTCTCAAAGTCACAAGATTTTGAGGGCAGAATGCAATACAAAGTGAAGGCATAAAAAACCCCAACATTTATGTAGTCACCTTTAAAATGAAAAATTAGCAGCAGCACTGAGAATCAAGAAAAGATGAGAGAGGAGACAAAGCCACAACATCCAACAGAAACAGCAGGAGAGCTCATGAGAACTTCATTCATCTGAGTTTCAGTTCTTTCACTTGGGCTTTGAGGGTTAGCACCTTTTCTCTTACCCCCCAAAAAATCCTTCCTGAACCACCAAAAAAAAATCTGTATGGGATAATGAAACTCAGCAGCTAAAGAAAAGATTTGTAGGTGTGTGGATTTATACTTCCTCACTTCTTTTCCTGCCAGCTTATGACAGAAAAGAGAACCTACTTCCTGACAGCAGATTCTCCCAACATCCTGGAGGAATGGATTCATGTCCTACAGAGTATCCTGAGAGTGCAAGTGACCAGTCCTGTTGGTGTTCCTCATAGTGATGCTAAACCTACTGTGAAAGGTTGGCTCACCAAGGTAAAATACTATTTCTTACTTTATTCAGTTTAGCTCAGTGTTGACAGTGTACCATCTTTTTGTTTTGCACAGTAAATGTCAGCAAGAAATTAGTATTTTAATACTGTCTAGAAGAGCAGGGAAAGAAAGAAAAGTGGCAGTAGATTTCTGTATTTCAGAGAGAGGAACACTTGTAAAAATGATAAGGAATGAGACAAGGCTACTGAGACATACTGACTTGGTCAAATAGTAAATAATAACAAATACCTAGCTTATGTATGCTTTTCTTCAACAGGATTCACAGCATGTCATAGTTAAAAAAAAAAAAAAAAACCACAAACCAAACAAAACCAACATGAAATGCTGGTAAATGTCACATTTAATTGATACTGTTGATGTAGGAGAGTCTCAAAGAAATGATTTGTATGTTTCTAGGTTAGCATTTATTTCCATTGTAACATTGCACGGGCATTAGTACAAAGTACAATGACTGAAAATTATTATGCTTTATGTCATTCCATAGATTACTTTTGCATAGCAAGGTACTCTGAATTTTTTAATGTAATTCCGGTCAGCATTTAAAGATGGCTAAAGACAACCTGCATCTGAAGCTTGTTCATCTGCAATAGGAGACAGCTCCCTAGACTACATGTTGACTGGTCTTTTCCCGCTGAGACAAAATGATTTGTTTTTATAATCTTAAAAAGGTTATTCTTAATATTGTATTTCAGGATACAGAAATGATGGGTTGTTATGAATGTGTAAAATACTTCACAAAATCTTAGACTCATTTCCATAAGCACCTATGTCCCATGTACTTAGGCGGGATGTACTTATCTACTTTTGGAAGTGGTGCCCTGTATATCTTGAGAGGAACTCATATTAGCATAGAACAAATAATATATGCAAGGTTTTAAGGGAGAGTTGAATTGAAAGTTGAAATCCTAGAAAATCATTCCAGCAACACTGCTAATGTTAAAAACATGTATTTCTCTGTTCTCCTTACAGGTCAAGCATGGTCACTCTAAGCTAGTCTGGTGTGCACTGATTGGAAAAACTTTCTACTACTATCGAAATCATGAAGATAAGGTAATTCCTTTTCCCCTTTTGTTCGTGAACCCTCCTTTCCCATTTTTCATGAAGCTTTCTTTCCTTTTACTGCTTCTGTGTCTCATGCTTCAAGCCCACCCTTGGTTGTATTTCTCTTCTAACAACAAAAAGAATCAATATTTTCTCTGATTTTTTTAAATTTTTTTTAATCTAAAACGACAAAAGACTTAAAAGGCGAGTGACTGCTCTTTCTCAGATGACTATATATCTTGTTTCTGACTTTCTCCATTTGATCTTGTGAAGCCTTTAGAGCAGACTTTTATACAGCAGCTAATATATTCTGTCATATAAACTGTCATGAAAACAAGTAGCAACAACAATACAGGAAGAGGGAGGTCATTTAATCAGTGTAATGTGCTTCCATTTCTGGAAGCTTGGCCCAGTGGTCCATTACTTTGTCTTGGTGATGTCGAAAGCCAAGTTTTAGAATATGAAGGAATACTGCGACTGAAAGATTGACCTCCAGAGTTAGCACAGCAGATATCCTCTGTTTGTCTGAATCTATTTATGTAATTTTAAAAGTACTTATTTTCCAGTAGCAAGCAGAAAGTCTCACCAGGATTGGAAAATAGTGGCTCAAGATACTGAGCAACTGACCATCAGAAAACACATCCTGCCTTGCAGAACCAGCGATGTAAACACAACTGACAAGTGTAATGGGAAGAAAACAGTACCTTATGGGAAAGACCATCTTTTTATTTGCATAGTCTCATTCTGACCCATAGATGCTCTCCCAAGAATAATAATAACAGTAGTAACACAGTTTGTAAGTACTTTAGTTGATGAAATAGAAGAGATTCTATAGAAATGCAAGATTATATAATTACATTAGTCACACAGTGATTTATAGTTTATTCCTTACATTTTACAGAACTGCTAACATTTTGACCTGGATTTTCTTTCCCAGTGTTCCCTGTCCTTAGTGGGAGATTAGCTACACTTACCTAACTTGCTTCCCCTCCTTATAGTGTCCCCTAGGGTATCTGCCTATGCGTGAGTCCAAAGTGGAAGAAGTAGATCGTTCCTGTGACTCTGATGAAGATTATGAAGCCACTAGTGGAGGACTTTTCTCATCCCACTGTACATTGGTGATTCACCCACAGGACCAGAGTCCCACATACTTACTCATTCGCACCAAACAGGAGAAGGTATAAAAGGCAGTCTTTTTGGAGAGCAAGAGTGTTTTTAGTACCAGTGAACAAACGGGGCAGACAAACTGAACCTGTTTGTAGAAAACAAGGTCTGAATTGACCCACACTGTTCTCATCCTTATGCCTAGAATACCTGGCTGTACCATCTGACCGTAGCAGCTGGTAGCAGTAATGCCACAGTGGGCACATCATATGAACAACTCATTGGAAAACTATTGGATGCAGAGGGAGACCCTAGTAAGTAGAAACCACAAACTTTTTTCTGTGGTAGTAAAGCATAAGGAAGGGTAATTTCAATTCCCAGTTTTAATCCAGCCAAAGGTGAGGGAAGCGGATTCTCTGTAGAACAGCATATGATATAGTGTCCTTTTTCCCTAGTTCCACAGTAACATCTCCAGAGATGATACAGGCATTGCAGTGAAACTAGACAAGTCTATCACATTGTCACATGGTTTATCAAAGCATCTGAAACATCTGTAACATTAATTCAAATTAAAATAAAGAACTGGAACTTTAATTTTTCCTGTTTATTGTTGGTCCTGATATTCCTTTCCTGGGAATCTTGGCCATACAAACACTTCCTCTCTCTTCTAAATACACTCACACACACTTGCCTTCACATCTGTTCCTCTGTCTGCACGTATAAACCCTCACACATACAGCCACGCTCATCTGTTCCTCCTCATCTTTAATACTTGCTCATTCATGTGTGTTTATGCACCATGTTCTCAAATGTGTATTAACGCATGCATTCATACGTAATACTCTTTTTCCTGCACACTCACATATTCCTAGACCTGTATGTGTGAATCTTGCTTACTGTTGACTCGTGACTTGCACTAACAAAGACCCCCCCATTGCAGGCGGCCACCGTGGCAGTTTGTGTCTCTTGTTTGAACGCACAGCTGAGCAGTTTCTCACCAGAGTCCAGTTGATGAGAAGCTCTGACATAGCAGAATTGAGGATGGCAATACTTCTTTCTGCTGATACCTGATGTTGCTGGTGACTACTTGTTCATGTCAGGCTTTGCTGAAATCAGTAAAGTGGCACCAAAAATAAATGTGGCCTAGTGCAGTGCTGCTTCCTTGGGTGCTGTGCCATTTCAGCAAGGCTCCTTTTCAACAATGGACACTGTTACCTTTCTTGTTTCTGATGCTGCGTGTTTTTGCCCATCTGCTACCTCAGATTCTCCTCTATGGAAACATCCTATGTTGTGCTACAGTAAAGATGGGTTGCACACATCCCTCACCACGCTGCCATCAGAGGCTCTGCAGACAGAAGCTCTGAAACTTTTTAAGGTATTTAAATGGAACATTGCATGGTTTTCAGTTATTTTGCTCTGTTGTTGGGGCAACAACATTGTTTGGTCATGTTGTTTGTCACAACATTTACTGTCACCATTGGTTGCTTTTGACAGGCCTGCTGGGTCATTTAATTACAATAGGAGTCAGGTATTAGGTGTCATTCATTCTCTGGAAGTTTAACTTTTCCTTGCAGGGAATCTGGGTTTAGGAGCAATCTCCCCCATGGGGTTTACACTTCAAAGTTAGCCTTTTCTTCCTCTTTCCTGTCCAGTAGTTGGATTGAAGGAAACAGAAGCAATTTACTGGCAAACTCAGTTGTGTCAGTAAGACCAACGGTGAAGCCATTGGAGATTTGATTCTTGCATTCTACAAGCGTAAAGATCAGGAGCAAGACTGGACAGTCTTAGCAAGGTAAAGCACAGGCATGGAAGGCAGGAAGCACATCTTCCTCTTGATTCTTTTGCTGACTTGTGAGCTCTCAGGCTGGGGGAGGTTGAGTGAATTTTTTAGTTGCCACAACTAAAGAGGGAGGAATAGAAATTAAGTATTTATTCTCCTCCCTCCTCTCAAGGTTCTTTAGAAGAATTCATTAATTGTCTGTAACACATCTGGGGAACCTGGCCTGGAAGGTACTGGAGAAGAGTTGCTGTATTCGTGGCATTGACTAACTTCCACCCTTTTACAGTCCTGTCAGCTGTTCATCAATGTCCCTGTGGAGGCACCCTCTATTGATTACCATGTATCACTTGCCCAGACAGCACTGCAGGTCTGCTTGACACATTCTGAGCTGCAGAATGAAATTTACTGTCAGCTTGTTAAACAGACCAGCTGCCGACAACCACAGAACCACTCAGTCATTCAGGTCAGTTCCTCTTTTGTTACTTCCACTCTGCAAATATTTCTACTTAATTCTATGTTTTTAACAATTAGCTCTCATGGTGCAAATGCTAAAGGTGTGTTGGAGGAAAGAGAATCTCAGCACTGATGTGCAAAGAAAAACATTGAGAATGTAACTACTTACAAAATAAATTTTAGTTTGAATTTAACCATTTACCAGTTGCAAATGGTCTATCCAGGCCATATTCGGAATCAAAATTCATAGCTTGTGTTGGCTAACTATAACTGTCACATGGTATTAATTTTGTTTTCCATTTTAGTTCATCAACAACATGCAAATCACAAATATTACTATTAAGCATGAAATCTGATTTTTGCACTGTAATTATTGGGTACATCAAAGGAATAAGTTACAGCATGAATGTACATACTTGATTATAATATTCCCAGCTCAAATGAGAAAATAATACCTGGTTGAAGAATAATGGGTCTAATTTGAAATAAAATTCCCCAGTGTGTTCTTTCTTATGATTTGCAGTCACAAATAGGAAAAAAGTATTAATTTAAGCTTTAATAATTCACTCACCTCTAGTTACACTGGTCAAAATTTTCAAAAGTGGTAGTCATTTAGAACACCTCTTCTTAGAGTCCAGGTTGAGATATCGAAGAGCAGTCTGTCCTCTGACCATGGCTTCCCTTTGAAGCATCTTGAACTACATATCTAAAAATGGTTGCTCCCAAAAGCACTAGTTACCATCCAACATTTTAGTTGCAGTATTCTATGAAAGACAACAGGCAAGAACTACAGAACAAGAATGACTTCCAGTTTTATATTGACAGTGCTGGCAACTCCTCGCTTTGTGTGCTCCTCTCTTCCTGCCTCAACATCACTTCCTCTGGTACATCAAACAACACTTGCAGCGCCATGCAGACCCCAGGTAAAGACTGCAACAGCATTTTCTTCTGCTGATTGCCTTTTGCTTCCACTATTGATAAAGATGGAAGCAATTTTGTAACTCACACCTGCAAAAAATAAGTTGAGGGAGGGGACAGAAGTTTCCCAATGGTATCAAGCTGTTCCCCTTCAGTCATTCAATTAATTTGTCATTTATATTAAGCTAGTTCACAAAACTGAGCGACCTAAGAACTTTTTGCAGATATAACTGGAGCTACATAGGGATTTTTTTTTTCCTGGTGCAGCTACTTTCTTTTATTGATAGAAAGACAGACCAAAGTAATTATTTAGAATGAATTATTAGAATTTTAGGTGATTACATTCTGCTGTCAGGTTAGCAGGCATACTGACAGAACAAAAGTGAAGCGGAGGACATCTCAGGGAACCATAAAAAGTTAGAAAAAAATAACAAACCTGAAGTACATGCTAGTACTGTTTTCTGTTACCTCTTTGGTGTGCAACGTTTTCCTCTGTAAGAAAACAGTGCAAGATTTTCTGTAATGGCAATAATTTGTTCTCCAGTGTTCATGCTGTGGTCTTTGTTTGTTTCCATGGTGATCTGGTCTTCAGCATATCTCACTGTGTCTTTGGCAGGGAGGTCACAGCTAGAGATGTCTAGTTGTCTGTTGCAACAGTATACTGTTGCTAAGACATAGGTAAAAGAGTGGTTTCATTTCAAACAGACATTCGTATTCAAATACTCGGCCTAAATCTGCCTTGGAACTCAAGCTAAAAGTGTCCTGGCATTGCAGAGGAATCTGTGTACTCCTCCTATCGATTTTTTTAAAATTATTTTCTTATGTGCTGCCTCACATTTGCTATTTTTTCTCAGAAGCAAAAATACAGGTATCAGACACTCCTCGATGCTCAGGCTCTCTCTCCATTGGCAACATGTTAGGGATCTTCTGGGTAGTACCAGAAACCATTTCTTCAAACTTTTGCATTACCAGCCCCCAGACTGGCCCATTCAACTCAGTAGTGGAGCTGCTCTCCTGTTAGGAACTATTGAATTTCATAAGGATGTGCTGGGCTCTCTGGAACTCATTTAATGCATCAGTTTCAAGCATTATGATGCTGATGGTCTGCCAGGTTCTTAGCCCAAAAGTACCTTTATCAACAAATAAACTTTAAGCAGAAGCAAAGTGGAAATTTATTTATACAATCCATCTATGAAACAATTATTAGGGCTAGAAAAAAACATACAGAAATTACAGGAAACTGTGTTTATATTCATCTGTGGTTCACATTAGATTTCAAGCAGTTGCTAAATGGGACTTGACTTAGCTCCTTCTGCCTAGCTTTAGGAATATTTATGTCTCTTTAGATGGAGTGGGGACAGTTGTTTCTTGACCAGTTAATAGATATACTTTCCCTGTTTCATACAGAAAAGAGGATACTAGAATGTTTACACTACATAATGCCTATGGTCTAGATTTACACTAGATCTTTATTCTAGGTATTGTTTTTCATGAAAGGTGACCTTAGAGTATATATCCAGTCTCTAAGAGGAACAAAGGGGCATAGTTCAGATTAGAAGACACAGGACTCAGGAGCACTTGGAAGCCAGACAAACAGCTTCTTGTTGATGCAAGATTCTCTATTTGAAAATTGTTCAAATCTATTACTGGGGAGGTGAGCAATATATTGCTACAGTGAAAAGCCAGAGCTCCTGACTTGCATGTTTCTTGCAGGGATTTAACTGGAGATTTAATCATGTACTGAGCTCCTGAAGGCATCTTGAATGGAATTAGTTTCCCCTGCAAAGTGATAGCATGGTTATCAATCCATATAAATCCTTCAATTTCAGAACTTTTTTGGTATATGCTTTCATAATGTTTTTGCAAAAGGTGTAACTGACTGTTCCTGTCTGGCTTTAGAGACACACCTATCCTTTCGGTGCTGTTCAGTGGAGCACTCTCTTCAGTGGGCAGTAAACTGATCGTATCAGTAACTATCCCTATACTGTATTGAACTATCAACAAATCTGAGCCTGCTTTGAATCTCTGTTGAGTCTCTTGATTGGCAGATAGGGTTAACAGATGGAAGCTTATTTGTATAACCATGTAAATTGATAAACACAACTTCCATAATCCTGTAAGTGAGACTAATGCATTACAACTTATTAATACTTACCAGGATTTGACACGATAGTAACTAAATTCTGCTGGCATGAGAGCGAGTTTGAGGGTGAACTGGTCTTGGTTTAATGGATGCTATGATGGCAAGAGGATACAGAAGAAGGATATTCCTATACTATGTCCAGTCCATCTAGGAGCAGGGAATGCTCTTGCGCTTCCTAGGGAGTCCATTGTCTACCTTAATTTTACAGGTCCTTGGAGCTCAGGTTTTGTGTTGTAGCTTTTCACTTGAGCTGTTAATCTGTTAAGGTGAACTAGCATAGCTGCATCTAGGAGATGTATCTTTGCTTGAGCAAAAGCCTGAGGGAGGAATGCTTTGTCATGGCGTGGCAAATGGAAGGGGACATGGCATTTAAAGCATGTTTGTGGCTTATCTCCACCTCTTTGCCTAGGAGTGAAATAGGCAAGTATGCCATCTACTGCCAGAGATCAGTAGACCGCACTGTGCAGACTGGTGAGCGGGAAGCCAAGCCCTCCCGGATGGAGATTGTGTCCATCCTGCTGAGAAATCCCTACCACCACTCACTCCCCTTCAGCATCCCAGTGCACTTTATGAACGGAACCTACCAGGTGAGCCACCACATCTGCCTTTCTTCTGGGCCCCATAACCTGCCTCCTTCATGTGGGTGGGTGGCAGCATGGTGTTTATACGTGTCAGATACTAGGAGAGAGACATTATTACTCCTCTTTGCCATTTTAGCCATTTTTCCTGAGAAAATGAAAGGAATCCAGCCCCAGCTGTAAAGGTCTTAGGAAGAAAAGGTAGCCAGGGCGGAGGGGGAGATGTCTTAAGTGTCTCAGTATGAGAAATAATGCAATGTGAAGGGAGACAATACGCAAGTGATGTCACTGGAGCTGGCAGTCAATCATGAGACACCAGTCTGTAGAAAACCACGCTTCATTAGTTGTGATACCCATCAATGTCATGTTTCTGGAAAGTTATCCTCAATTAACTCCTCTTTCATTGCAGGTTGTAGGTTTTGATGGTTCCTCAACAGTTGATGAATTCATCCAGCGACTGAACCGGGAGACAGGAATGAGGAAGCCATCCCACATGGGATTTTCTCTGTTCACAGATGATCCTTCTGGCAGGAATTTGGAACACTGTCTGCAGGGCAACATGAAGGTCTTTGTTTTTGGTTTTCCTCCACTACATTCAGCATATAACTTTGAAAAGCTGCTAAATGGCTAATAATTTTTTTCTTAATGCAGCAAGATCAAATACACTTGAATATTGTCTATCTAGATTAGGATTCAGAGATGAGAGATTAATTCCTGCACTTGGGTCACAACAACCCCATGCAACGCAACAGTCTTGGGGAAGAGTGGCTGGAAAGCTGCCTGGCAGAAAAGGACCTGGGGGTGCTGCTCGACAGCCAGCTGAAAATGAGCTGGCAATGTGTCCAGGTAGCCAAGGTGGCCAACAGCATCCTGGCTTGTATCAGAAACAGTGTGGCCAGCAGGAGTAGGGAAGTGATTGTCACCTCTGCTCAGCACTGATGAGGCTGCAGCTCAAATACTGTGTTCAGCTTTGGGCCCCTCACTACAAGAAGGACATTGAGTTGCTGGAGCGTGTCCAGAGAAGGGCAACAAAGCTGGTGAAGGGTCTAGAGCACAAGTTTCTGAGGAACAGCTGAGGGAACTGAGGTTGTTCAGTCTGGAGAAGAGGAGGCTGAAGGGAGACCTTATCGCTCTCTACAACTACCTGAAAGGGGGTTGTAGCAAGGTGGGTGTTGGTCTCTTCTCCCAAGTGATAGAATAAGAGGAAATGGCCTCAAGTTGTGCCAGGGGAAGTTTAGATTGACTATTAGGAAAAACTTCTTCACTGAAAGGTTTGTCAATTGGAACAGGCTGCCCAGGGAAGTGGAGTCACTACCCCTGGAGGTATTTAAAATATGTGTAGATGTGGTGCTTGGTGACATGGTTCAGTAGTGGACTTGGCAGTGTTAGGTTTATAGTTGGACTTGATGATCTTAAAGGTCTTTTCCAACCTAAATGATTCTATGATTCTATAATTAGCTCAGTCTAGTCTGAGATACTAGTTAAGACAAAGCACATTCTGATAAATTCGTCAATTATTTACAAGTCTTTAACTCAAATTTTAGCACATACTAAAGTTTAATTTGTCTTGACTACAAAATTAAAACATGACTGTGCTAGCTAGCGTGATCAGATATAACAACTAACATTAAATGTGACACTCTTAATTGAGGTGAATTTACGTTAGGCTGTGAGTCTCCTGGCATGTCTGTATAAATCCCATCTGTTGGATTATGAAGTATCTCCTTGCTATCTCCAGATAACTCAGGCTTTCATTGTTGATGAGTGTACTTAGGGGGTGAGGCTCTACTGAGTATGCCTTCATTTTAAAAAAAGAGAGGAGTACCTCAGATCGAGGGAAGAAGAAACCAGATAAAGCATTAACATCTGTGTCTTTCATACGGAGATTTTTACCCATGCGGCAACTGGAAGACTGCCTTAATTGAGCAGGCTAGTGGCCATGAATGAGACACATCAGATTTTGGCACAAATCTGGGACAATAACTTGTCATATAGCATTGATGGAGGAATACTGGTAGTAGCAACTTTGAAGAGGCCCTGATACCTGTAAGGAACATAAACATTCAGTTTTACACAGCGTAAAATTTCACATTGGGCAGTGGAGGGAGAAGATACCAATAACTTTAAATTAGATGGTTTGAAGAGGAAACTACAACAGACAGTGCCAAATTATATACTTCGCTTTCATGCTCTGATATAGATCAGATAATCTGGAGCTTTGCTGGTAATTGAATCACCATTTGGAGAGATGAGATATTTGAGTAAACAAAGGACCTTGAGACAATCAAAGGCATCACTTTTACTGGTTATTAACTGGTTATTATTTACTTGCCAAGGCAACCCTAACAGCTTCTTAAGAGAGGATTAGGATATCTGATTATGTATTTCATGTGGCTTCTAATGTTCACATTCCTTTTATAGAGATGCTATCAAAAGAGAAGTAGAGGCCTTCATTAGACTACTGGTAAAAGGCCTGGAATAACCAAGAGGAGCTGAATAAAACCAATGAAATTAATCATGCTATTACTAAAAATATGTCTGAGTTACAAAGTTGGAATCTAGGACCAGATGTTCCCGAAGTCTGGACATTCACATCCAAGGGTTTGGTTTAGTCATGCATGTAGACAGCTGCTATTCAGAGGATACATTAGTGCTTTAGTTTTGCTCAGGAGGGCACTTTTGCAGCAAACCTACTAATTGTTCCTATTAACCATGCTTTGATTCACATTAAGGAGCAGCCTTAGAGAGCACGAAATGGATTCTTTTTATGTGAAACATGAACTGGAAGATGCGATCCAACATAATAGTGGGCTTTCAGGCCATTTGATCAGACTAAAGGTATTCCAAAGGAAAACCCTTTGAAACTCATATAGTGTGGGCACAGAGTCGTAGGAACAGGTATTTCACTCTGCAGATCTGCTCCTCCTGGGCTTTGCTACTTGCTAACGTAGACATAGCCACAGAGTTGCTACCAGACCAGAATTCACTTACACATGTCCCCCTGCAGATTAGAGCTGGAGTTTTCACTTGGAATGCTTTAATTTTTACATACCGTGTAATAGAAAAAGGAATTGTTTTGTCACTTTTGGCTGTGTTTATGCTGATCCAGTCTGTTTCTTTATCTTCTGTGTTCCACAATATGTTTTTCACTTACTTTCCCCTCAGGCCTTGACTATACATTTCACTTCAGTTTGTCTTTCCTCTCTCCATGATATTTTTTAAAGATCTGTGATGTCATTTCTAAATGGGAACAAGCCTTAAAAGAATTGCATCCCGGGAAATATGAAGGTGGCACAAGAATTGTGAAGTTGACCTATAAGAACAGGTACTGTGCTTCTTTGGTTGGCCTCACAACTGCTGTTAATTAAACATTTCTAGACTGCATATATCTCTGTAGATGTCCAACAATTTATAGTACTGTTAGTGCCAAAACTATTTCAGCTAACACAAGTCCTACATGAGATGTGATGACTTTTTTATGTGGTACATGTATAAAAGAGGGTATATGGCCTAGAGGTAAAACCCAAAACACTCTGCAGTAGCAGAATAGATGTAAAATGAGTTAAGAACTAGTTGTAGCACAATACAAGTACTTGGCACAATTTCATTTGCCTAGATCCTAAAACAGAATTAAATAATGCATGTTAGGTGAGAGGAAGAGAGACCTGGAGGAAAAATCACCAGTGAAAACGAGTATGCTGAAACTTGCAATTAAGTGAGGAATCACAAAGATTAAATAGATAGAAGAACAATGTTCTAAATAGCATGAGCTGTAGAAGAGACATGTAGTAGCAGTCCCCAGGCTTTATAAAGAAAGAAATGTTAAAAGTTAGATGATGAGAGATAGTAGAGAAGGGAAGTACAAGACAAAGATCTAATCCAAAAATTGGAACAAGTTCATCATTTATAATACAGACAGGAATTCTGAATTACAGTGAATGGATAGCTGTGTGTGACAACACAGATCGGCTTTCTGCATGTGAATTCTCTGTGCAGGCAAAACAAAGGCCACTCCAAAACCAAAAAGAGACAGTTCTGTATTGAACATACGAAGATTTTGTTGACTGTCATGGTGGAAACAAGTTTCTGTCAACTTTCTTAGTTGGTATAACAGAGGTGGAAGCAGAAGTTATTGTTTTGACCCAGAAGGCAGTATTTGTTTCAAGAGTGAAACTTTAGAGTATTATTTTGTTGGACTGGAATGTGCCTAGACTGGACAGCAAGGATGTTGTGATAAGGTCTTTCCAAGGTTGGGCTGTTCTAACACCAAGGACTCTGATAAGACATGTATAAGGTCAGTGTGGTCCTCATGGTGGTGTTAATCTTTAAGTGGCTTAAAAATGAACAAACTGATCCACTGGAATGAGTATCTGGTGTAGTATTGTGGAATATATAGTCATAGATGCAGCTTTAAATTAATATTTTAATTAGATGGTGCGGGCTATAAATAGGCATGCTTGAGGAATGGTTCTGGGAAGTATTCCCCAAGCTGATGTCTTCATCCCCCATTAGTCATCTTGCTATACCAGGTCAAAGAAATTGCAAGTGTGAAGGGAATAAAAAAACAGTAGCCCTTTGATTTACAAAAATGCTTCTTCAATTTTTGAAATACAGCCTGCTAGTTGGGTCTCCTATTTTCTGCTGAAGCAAACTGAAGACTTTTTTAATAACAATATCAGGGTAAGTGATACCAGATCAAAACACAGCTAGCAAAAATAACAAGTCTGCCATGTAGAAGTTTATACATGTAGAGCAGAGGTAGTTCTGTATTCTGTGATAAGCAGGGAAGGCCATATCTTAAATACTGCCTATCTGTGCTTGATAGGGATGGATGGACACTGATTGATTTACCTGTGTTTAATAAGGCTTCACTGTCTTGAAGTGGTTGGCTTACAGAATCCAAATGGCTTCCAAAGCTAGAAAGCATGTTTTGAGCCTCCTTGTCCAAATCTTGTTCATAAGGGAAGCACCTCAGCTTCCAAATACCTGTCCAGTACCCACAAAGTTCATTTTGGAGAAGGAGGGAAAAAAAACCCCACCAAACCAAAAACCCACTTTTATTTTTACTCATGTTGATTAAAGTTCCCACCTCTACTTTCAGTTCACAGTATCTTTTTACCTTCACAATCCTCTCTATTTTTTAGGCTATATTTTCGGAGCCAGGCCAAAGGTGAGACAGACCGTGAGCGGTTGCTACTGGCTTTCCAAGTCAGCAATGAAATAGCCAATGGAAGGTTTCCTGTTAATAAGGAATTAGCTCTGGAAATGGTGGCTCTGATGGCTCAGGTGAGTATGGCTATGGGCAGAAATCCTCCCTCTTGTTCTCCAGGGACTTCAGCTGTACACTGAATATCTTGACTAAGCAGCTATCTTTTACATCAAAAGTGTTTTTTCTTATCAAACATACTGTCTGAGATGTACCATGCCAAACCCATTATACCAGCATACATATGTTGTTAGAACACCTTTTCCTGTGTAGG